AACAAACTTCTTTGACAAAGCTGTTGAGGTTGCAATATAGCCTCTGAGAAAAAATGAAATGTACATACACAGCAAAAGAACAGAGTAAGAGCAAGACAAAGATAAGAAGATTGGAGCTGAGAAAGAAACAAAGAAGGAGAAAGAGGAAAATTACAAACGGGAAGGAGAAATTCAACAGATTGAGCATCAATAAAAGTAGACAGATTGTGATTATAGGTCACAGAATAAGTGACAAAAACCAGGAGGACAAATTTTGAAGCTGAGACAGAAGAGCATAAGCAAGAACACAAATGTTAGGGGATGGGGAAAAAAAAAAAGATAATCAGGTGGAGAGTCATGAAGCAATGCAATTCAAAACTCATTAAAAACAAGTAGATTAAGAGAAGGAATGTCACAACCTGAATAAACAAAGCCACAAAGGATGAAGGTGGGATTAGCTGTTCCTCATCAGGAAGAAAAGAACCAGAACAAAGTCATGTGGTGAGAACAGCTGACAGAGTCACTGAATGATATTGTAGGCTCAGCTGTAGCAAAAAAGCATAAAAACAAGGACCATGGGACAGAGATGAAGAAGGCAGAAGAGAACAAACCACCTGATGCACAGTAGCAATAACATCACTGACTATCAGAGCCTCTAGTCACCACTGAAACTGTAGGACATATTCCTGAAGAGCCAATTTTATGCTCTATTTCCTAATGAGGTTAGGAAAGTTAATTGATGTTTGTGTTTTACATAGGAAGTCAAAAAGAATTATCCATTGTTGAGAGCAGTGTCCCTAGCACTTGAATATTTTTTCTCATCTTATACATATTAATTTGATAGACAGTGAAATTGCATTTAGGTTTTATTTTTACATTTTAGTTAATTATGTATTATTTGCATTTTAAAATCCATATTTGAAAGCTTATTGATTATTTAAGTGTTTCTACTCGTTGCTTCACTGATCATGGGTTATGCAAAGAGGGGAGGGCAAACATAATGCCATAGGCTAAAGCAAACTCTCTGTCGATCATAACATCATATCATCTATGGAGACCTGTTGAAGTGTGTTGACATAAATTGGAAAGTCAAATAAAACATTAACAATAAAAAATTTATAAAAAGGTAAAGACTTGAAATTACACATATGACCTAAAGAAGATATTTTAATATTATTCAATGAAGAGATAAAAGGCAAGTACATATTTCCATCTCTTAATTTTAAACATTTCATTGCACTGTACATAGTGATAATAATGAGTCAGTGATATGATAGAGAAAATGGAAAATAAAATATAAACATTTACCTTAAAAAATGTTTAATATTCATTTAGCAGGTTCAAGAAATTATGAACATGAAATGTGAAAACTATAAGGTAATACATAGTATTTTTATACTGAAGATAAAAATCCCCTTGCAGGTGAATTATTCAGAGGCTTAGTGCAAATAACTACATT